GTATTTTTAAGAATTTGTTGTTGTTATCTCTCCTTGAAAAACCATCAATTGTCAATGGCTCTTCATTTAGTGGTTGAGCTCATGGGTTCCCCTGGAGCTGGAGTTAGAGGTGTGTGTGAGCTGCCTGATGTGGGTGATGAAGACTGAACTCAGGTCCTCTGGAAGCATCATCCACACGATTACCCACTGAGCCATCTCTCCAGGCCCAACCTTTAGTAGTTAACTCAGTCATTTAAATACCTTGTGAGGCCAGCTTTTCATCTTCCATTCTATTTTGTGTACAATACATTTTCATTTACAGTAGACCATGTCATGTATTTTGACAAACATTGGGAACACAAAGTAACAACATTATTATGATGACACCTGCTTTCAAAATGCTCACATTTCAAATGAAGAGAGATACACAAGTATGATTAAATATCTTCAGGGCTAAGTAAAGTCAGATAGTTCCCCTGTTTCCATGATTCTAATAAATGTCTCTTGCCTGTGCAATCCATTATTAGCAGGGGTCAAAGCAATCTGCTTATATTCTGAGCAGTCACCCTTCTGCCACTGCCGAAGCAGAAGTCGAGAACAAAGCTCACATTTCTGTGGGTTCCCCAACCGTTACACCAGCCATCCTGCCCCATGACAGCAATCTCCTGTTCTACTCTGAAGTCCTTGGGGTCAAGACCATCTCATTCCCCCTCTTCTCACTCCTTAGTCATGACAATAATAAGGATTTCCACAATTTCCCTTATGACATGTGGCTCTCTGTTTCATCTTCTCTGGCCTTCAATTCTAATTTTTCCAACTGCTCCAAGACTGGCTTGTGCCCCATGGCTTTGATTTTTCCTTTATTGCATTTTATACCACTAGCAAATGATTCTACAAAAACATGAACCTGAAGAAAATGATGCTTATTGGATTCAAAAGCTGTTTTACTCACTGTTGGGTTCACAGCAGCAGGAAAACATACATGCACAGTAAACATGCAACCCTTTATTGAATCAATGAAGGAAAGCAGAAATACTTATTATTAAGTCGACTTTCTCCATAGTAGCAGAGTTTTCATTTACCTGTAAGAAACACCTAGTAGGATTTTGCAAATTCTTGTCTATTTCCTTTTTCTTCTCTCTCTCTCTCTCTCTCTCTCTCTCTCTCTCTCTCTCTCTCTCTCTCTCTCTCTCTCTCTCTCCTCTCTTGCTGTCTCACTCTCTCTGTCCTTCTCTCCATCCCCCATCATCCATCTTCTAATATAGTCTAAGCTAGCCTTACACTTGCTATATAGCTGAAGAGGGTTTGGAACTTCTGATTCTCCCAAGGCTGCAGTCCTGTACCTCCATTGCCGGTCAAGCTCATTTTTTCTATCTCCATTATTACATTCTCTCTCTCTCTCTCTCTCTCTCTCTCTCTCTCTCTCTCTCTCTCTCTCTCTCTCCCCGTGCGCGTGTGGGTGTGGGTGCAAGGCACCACGGTACAGTCTTAATCTGACAATCTCTTTGGCTCTCGTTTGTCTTTCCATCTATCAAATTCTGTCTCTGCTGTACCCTGCAACTCAGCCTTTAAATCTTCATGCTTCCTGCCATTGCTGATATTTAGAGATTCATGATCCCCCCCCCCCTAGCCATTCATAACAGTGTTTCCCTGGCTTCTCTGGCTCTGTTCCCAGATCTCCAGGCTTCACAGCCTTTCCAGCGAGACTGTTAACAACGTAGGCAGTACTCTCACCACTTTGTTCTCACAACTCCATGCACAGAACTTTACAAAAATGCTTTTCATGGGGTGTTTCAACTCATTGTTTTCTAAATGCATTTTCCTTATCTACCTAATAACTCCCGAGCAACTCACCAGAGCTCACAGAAACAAAGGGGCCTGTCTCCATTCTCATCAAATGATCAGAAAAAAAGGTACAATACACAAAATCACACACATCTCCACTCTTCCAGATGAGCTTAGATAGCAGGACATGGATAATTTGAGACAGTAATTTTACCAGAAGGACCTCGCCTTTCCATATAATTATCTGAGTATTTCAACCTAGAATGCATTGATTATATAATTATTCACTTTCTTTCCATAGGTGTTCTAGTATTTAGTCACTAGTATGTAATTATTGCTCGGTAAGTATATATATTTACCTTTAAATAAGTGAATAACTTCATGGCTAATTTCTACTATGTTTATAATTTGAAATAAAATTTGTATTTGAAACTATGAATTGCTGGTCTACAGTTATGGTTTCTTATTATAAGCCTCAGATATTAAGTAAAATATTCTAAATTTTCAAAGGGATATTTGAATTTATTTTTTGTACCTTGTCCATTAGTATATACATTGGAATAGTTTTGTTTTTTTATATACACAAAACTAGAAAATAGAAAAAACAGTTTTGGTCACACACACACATACACACAGAGAGAAATACACATACATCTATATACTTCAAATCATTTATGTGCAATTATTTTAATGCTTGAGCTTATAAAACATGTTTAGGTTAAGATCCGGGTACATATTGCATATTTTCAATTAAAATGGTAAATGACAACCACATCCAAATTTCTAGCCTCATAGTTTCCCATTCTTTTAGAGTCAACACGCAGCCATGTAAACACAGATCTCTCTTGGTGTCCCATTTAAATAATAATGGGAAACTGGAAAAACACTTTTTCTTCTTTGTTGCTCCAAGTGTTTAATTTTTTTGTGTGTGTTGCTGTGTTTTTTACTAAGTTTAGAAAACAGAGTATAAGGTGTATTTTTATTTTTTATCTAAATGAAAATAGTGCAATAATTTGGTTTTTAACAAAGACCACATATTTGTATAAATGTGTATCTATACATGCACACATTTACATCAGTTTTAATAAACAGTGATCATTCTGGCATCTTTAATTATGAAGAGCTTTGGGAGAAGACTGTGTCTGTGAGCATCTCATAATAAAAAGTTATTAGCTTACTAATTTTGACACAATTATTTCATTTATTTAATTAATGACAATTGTTTCAAAAAGCTGAGAAGACTTAAGTAACTCAGGCACTTAAGTCAGTTCCTTTTTCTCCATAACTGAAGATAGAAATCATGAGAGTAGAGTGACATTCATTTTATCTCTTCAAAGTAAATTTAAAAAAACAAAACAAAAGGACAAACATAAAAATCATACTTTTGAAGGCTCTAATCCAAATATAGATGGGAAAGATGATGAAATGCCCCTATAGAAAGAATGAGACATAAAAACAATTACTTCCAGCCGGGGGGGTGGTGGCGCACGCCTTTAATCCCAGCACTTGGGAGGCAGAGCCAGGTGGATCTCTGTGAGTTCGAGGCCAGCCTGGGCTACCAAGTGAGTCCCAGGA